TTCATAACACGCTCCGAGACACATGACAAAACGCTGTTAAGCAGAAGCGCAGAAAGAGCATACTATTACGATTTATATTAATTTATTGTCTCAGTACTCGCATACATTAAAACTAAATGTGTCCTCTGCATTTAACCCAGCCGAAGTGCAGCGCCCGGGGACCAAATCTGGTTCCAAATTCCGTCTAACGTTTTACAACCTGAAGATACAAAACACATATTTCTGTTATAAGTTGTTACCGATACAGTAAACAGTATTTAAATGAATGAAGAACGAAAAATAAATGAACAAACTGTATGCCAATAATTGCCTTAGCCCCATATGTTCCCACATTACTCCTATTATTTTCACTATTCGGATAAAATTTAAAAAACGAATATAAAAAACAATTTGGTTGCTTGCTTGCAACTATTTTCCAAGCAAAGTAAGTGCACGTTTTTATCATGTGTAACGTTACTGTTTAAACGGCGGATAAAGCAGCTTCATCATGGCAACTTGACAACAGCTAAGCTAAGCTAGGCTACTACTTACAGCATCCAGGTGACTTCAGAGTTGTTTTGCGACCGTGGTAGGCCAGTTTCTTGTCGCATATTTGGCACATATTCTTCTTACCGTCGTTCAATTTAAAATGGTCCCACACAGCTGAAGTCTTCGGCATTTTGTGGGTGAAACGAGGTGAAGCGAGGTGAAGCGTGCCGTTTGCGTTCGTGACTGTGAGTGAACGCGATGTCAGGAGCACAGGCTGAGATTGTATATATTTTTTTAACAGTGCAATTCAAAAGTATAAATATAGTTTAAGAATATGGCAATTCGCCTTTATTAATAGCATACATTTAGAAGAAAAAATCTTTTTTTTTTTGAAAAAAAAAACAAAAAACGAATATCCGAATAATGAAATTGAAACCCGAATAGTTGGCCAACGAACGAATATTCGAATAGTCGAATATTCGGGTACAGCCCTATACCAGGTCTATTATACGTCCCCACTGATCATCTGACATGTCTTAAATATACTTTTAATATTATTTTAGGATATAGTTTGTGAACGTATGATATACTACGTAATGGCTACAACAGGCCACATGACACAATAACAAGAGGCTCAAACATTATTTCTTCCATACCGGGTCAGACAAATAACACTCTGGGCCTGTCAGTTCATCAACATTAGGTACTAATGAGTACTTTTCCCAGGAATAGTTCCGATAGTTCCTGGGATTTTGCGTTGACACCAAAAAGATCTAGAACTAGAACTTTTTTTCGGGAACCTTTTCCCCCCTTTTCAGTCCCTGCTAGAGAGCAGGGACTTTCCTGGGGAGAAAAAGGTTCCAATTTCTGATTGACTGGGCGAATTGCATTATTAGCATTAGCATTAGCCCAGCGCACCAACGGAGAGAGACTAACTTATGGCAACACAACTCCGGGGACAACTCCGGGTACTTCCGGCCGGGGACTTTGGGTGGCAGTATACGCCGTGAAGTGGTTTGCAGCCTGCCAGTAAACCCAAAGCAGCAGCAGCAGCAGAAGAAGAAGTGATGTCAGCGGCTCCCTCAGGGACTTATTCCGGTGTGAACGCGATTTACTAGATAGTCCCGGGAAATAAAAGTTCCGGGAACTATTCCTGGGAAAAGTAGTCGGTGTGAAAGCGCCTAATCACTGCTTGTCACCTCCAATCAAACTGTCAAACATAAATCAGGGATCTGTTTCTTCATAGCCTTGCCTCAAATGCTTTCAGTAACATATTTTAGTTTCTAGCTTTACAAAACCCCAATGATCCTCCTTTCACAGATTATGTTTGTTTTACTGTGTATATGTATACACAGTAAAATATATATATATTTCGCCCTGCAGATGTATTTCTTCATGGCCTTTCTGTGGCCCTATAGTGGTTATGTCCAAATTTGAATATTTAATTGTTGTTTTGTTTGTAGTAGTCTTGGGCTGTATGTTTTTTGTATTGTGACTGGATTTGGTTTTGTCAAACCCCCCCTGTGCTCTCTCAGGGGCTGAGCTTCCATCTGGGCGCTGTGCTGCTGTCTCTGGGCTTCATCACATATGTGGAACATGGTACGGGTGAATGCACTCACTGAACCTCCTGTGTTTGTGCTGCTGCTTTCATCTTTCATCTTGTGGAGTTCTAAAGAGGAATTTATTTAAATCCTCCTTTTCCATATCAGCTTTGTTAATAGGAGTTTTCAAGAGAGAACGTTGATCTATTGAACACAACTATTACTGTTATAGCCAGTCTTTAGTTTTTTGTAAAAAAAAGGTAAATATGTTTACCTTATCATGACCTCTGTAGTCAAGAGGCTAAAAAAGACTACATTTCCCATGTAGGTCCTTGTGTGCTCCCAGCATGTGTGATTGCTTTAATGGGGTTTGGTTCTCACACCTCAATGAATAAGGTTGTTGATTTTTCTCATCCTCAGTTCTGAGAAAAAAGCTTGCCTCCATCTTCAGTGCCTGTGTCCTCTCCAGGCCCTGCCCCCCCGACTGCAGCCATCAGCACAAGAAGGTACAGCTTCGCTCAAAACAGACATCTACTTATCAACGGCAAATTCTGTGCATCTGTTGTAAAGCAGTTATGGCTGCCATGATGAACAGTTTCAGGGGAATTGATCTGAAGGGTCTATGCTGCAGACTGTAAAGCTCCCGGAGCCTATTGTAATTTGTCATATTGGGCTCTACGCATATCATTTTAAAGATAGATTGATATAAATGAATCAGCATAAGAATTTGTCCCCTTTTTAATAAAACACACTTTAATCATCACACCCTCTGGCCTTATCTGAAGCCTCCACCTAAATAGTGTTAATATCATAGATTTGAATTGAAGATGTTGTGGAGCTCTCTGCACTCGTAGGTGTCTGCTGAGGCACCCAAACTGTCTCATGGTAAATGTAACCGTTTGAAAGTGTTCCAATGTTCACCTTGTGACTTGTAAGAGTACATTTCATAACGTGCAAGTACTGTTTATCAATTGCAGAACACATTTGAGAGGTTCTTTTGCAAAACCTGTTATCTCTGGTGGTATTTAGCATTCTATCGGTATTTGTTTTGCACACAGGGAGTGTCAAACAGGCGTTTATTTATTCGTTGTAAGATTGGCTTTACAAATGAACTCTTGATATATGATATGTAGGAAGTTTAGTTTAGTTTATTTATTTATAGTGTCGTGGACAGTCCCCATTGTTGGAACTGTCACAAAACAGTAAAATGGTGCAGCTTTAGCCGAAATGGCTAATTTCCAGCTGTTGTCCCGGCGGCAGATGGTAATAGACAGCCTTAAAATTAGGAATAATAACCAACAGCATTAGTATAAGAAAATATATATAAAATAAAAAGGAGGAAAGACAAGATGACCGTGTGAGGATAAAAAGAGACAATAAAGAACACAAGTTAACTAACAGTACAGCAGCCTACATACAGTACATGTCACATATAGCACATCACAATCACATAACAGAAACGAGGGGCAACATCCATGATCACAACATGTAACACAACATGTAACACTCACGCCATACTCAACACTGACTAGTGTGTGCAGGTGTAGTTCTCAGTGAACCATGTTTTTAAGTGAGCTGTGAAGGTGGTATGTGTATGTATGTCTTTGATTTGAGTGGGTAGAGAGTTCCAGTTTTGTATTGCTGTGACCGAGAATGATGACTTACCAAAAGTACTCTTCCTGAATGGGACTGATAGGTGCACGTGTGGAGCTTCTAGTGGTCAGTCTGATGTTGTAACGTTGAGTAACCAATGAGTTAAGAGGTGGAGGGGCTGTATTGTGCAGGATTTTGTACACCAGAACGATGTTCCTATACTTTATTAAATCTTCCCAACTCAGGATGTTATGCTTGTTGAGGATGGTACAGTGATGGGAGCGGTTAGGTTTCTGGTCCAGTACTTTGAGGGTTTGTTTGTACAGGGTTGCTAGTGGCTTCAGTGTGGTAAAAGGTGGTAAAGTAATATCAGACCGTTTCTCCTTCTTTCAGTTTCATGTGTCGAGGTCTCTGTGAATGTCCGCACGTTCTCCTGTCAAGCTTAGTTTTTATAAATCCTAACTTTGCAGAGAAACAGCTGCAGGTGGAATATGAATGCCTGTTATATTTTTCAACTTCAATCTGACTGTGACAAACCCAGGCCAGCAACTGAAGAGGACAGCTTTAGATCACAGTGCTTTAACAGCGTTTCATCTGTTTCAATCTACTGTTACTACTACTGCCAATTGTAATTAAATGATGACACTTTCTACATTTTTAACATTTGAATAGATGGCTAAATAAAAGACAATGTTTATTACAGATGAATGACTAAATAATGTTGAACCAGTGGTTAGCTGATGCTTCTTTGGGTCTCTTAGAGTTACCAAACAAAGCATTGTTTAGCCTTCTGCTGGTCTAAAGAGTCAGGCCAGCTTCCCAACAGAATATCGAGGGTTAAAAGATTGCGTCTGTTTCACAGTTATTTTTTCTTCATTTGTGTGCAGGACTACTGGGTGATGTTGCTGAACCTGGTTTTCAGCCTCCTGGCCATCTTCCACCTCACCTACCTGGGCTCTATGTTTGATCCTGGACTTGACGAACAGGAAGTAGAAGAGGTGAGAGCAACTGGAGGATAAGGAACATTAACATACTGTATTAAGCAAGATATAGTGCAGGTCACAGAGGCTCATGTTATAAGTAGAAGGGAGGGATCAAGACATTTTAGTAGCTGGAATGCTTTTATTTGAAAACATCTGTGCCCAAGTGTCTTATTGAGTTAGTGAGCAGAGAACTGCAGGTACACATGTGATGTGTTTAGATTGACAGCCAAGTCCAGCAGGGGCAGAGAGCAGGAAGGCTGTTACCCAACATTTGGTGGCACATACTAAGGACATGGGACTGGCACAGTAACAGGGTTCTGGGTTAGCAGTGTGGGTTCTAACAGTCCTTTGCCATGCAGGTGAACGTTAGCATGGACATGTCTCAGCTGGGGGAGACAGTCCCTGCTGAAGCTCTCTGAGGAGTGCTGACAGATAACGGATGGATACTTTCGATCAGGGGTGTCAAACTCATTTGAGTTCAGGTTCCACATACGGCCACATTTGATCTCATGTGGGCCTGACCAGTAACGTCATAGCAGAATAACCCATACATAACCACAACTCCAAATTGTTCCCTTTGCAAAAAATACATTCTGAAGATTTTCACATTTAATGAACTATCTTTTTACAAAACATTACAACCTGACATTTCTTAAGTACAATAAAAAAAAAAAATGTAATGACTCTTACAGATCATAGTGTATCTACAAAGACACAAAACTGAACACTATAGGATTTTCCTTTATGATCAAAACAACTTTTCAAGATCTTGAAATGATATAACATTCATTTCCACAGGTGTGCAGTAATCCTGACACACCAGCATAACAACTAATGTGGGAACTATGAAGGAAGAAGTTTAAGTAATCCCCCTACCTTGTAAATGTATACAATCTCTCTTTATATATATATATATATACTTTTATGTATTTTGTACATATATATGTATATACATAAAAGTTAAGAAAATCTCCATTACATTTGTGAAGATGTTTGACATCCCTGCTTTAGAATACAGGACTGTCTCTGATATTAGCCTAATCCAGTGGTTTTCAAACTGTGGGGCGCAAAAATCTACAAAATGGAGAAGTGTTTAACACGGCCGTCAGTTAAAAGAAAAGTGGATGAGCCTACGACAAGCCTTGCAGCACCTAAGCCCAAATCAAGGAAGTATGATGAGTCATACATCTCCCTTGGCTTCACATCTAACGTGGTAGGTGGGGAGGAACGACCAGTGTGTCCTCTGTCTCAAAATCTTAACAGTAGCGAGCATGAAACCAAACAAGATGAAACGTCACTTGGAGACCGCACACCCCAATGATGTGAACAACCCCCTTGATTTCTTTCAGAGAAAACTTCAAGAATATCGTGGTCAGCAGATCTGCTTTGTTAAAACAGCATCTGTCACATCTAATGCTCAACTTGCCTCGTATAAAGTGGCCTATAGTATCGCCCAGTCTAAAAAATCACACACCATCGCTGAGAAGCTCATACTCCCTTGCGCTATAGACATGGTTTCAACTTTAATTGACTAGGTAACTGGCCAAAAACTCAAAGCCATCCCCTTGTCCGACAACACTATTGCTAGACATGAAAGAGCAGCTTGTTGAGAAAGTAAAAGACAAACACTTTGCGCTCCAAGTAGACGAGGCTACAGACAGTAACAAGGACTGTCTTTTAATTGCGTATGTCAGATACGTGGATACAGATGAGCTGAGCGAGGATTTGCTATTTTGCAACTATGTCCGAAAGAGAGCAACAGCTGATGAACTGTTCAAAATAATCGACACCTGTCTGAGTGAAGCCGAAATGAAATGGGAGGACTGTGTGGGGATCTGCACAGATGGTGCCCGGGCAATGGCAGGAACACGGGGAGGGCTACAGGCGCTCATCAAGCGCGTTGCACCGAGAGCAGTGTGGACGCACTGTATAATACACAGAGAGGCACTCGCGTCAAAGCAGCTGAGTCCGGAGCTTAATGCCGTTTTGTCCGATGTTATAACCACCGTCAATTACATCAAAGCAAGACCGCTGAAAGCTCACCTTTTTTCCGCATTGTGCGAGGGGATGGGCTCCGAGTACACAGCTGGTCTTTTTCACAGCGAGTCCCGATGGCTCTCTTGCGGAAAAGTGCTGTCCAGGGTGCGGGCGCTTAAAGATGAGATCAGAATCTTCTTGGAGGAGGAGGGGAACGACCTTGCCAGCAAGTTTAATGATGAACACTTCCTCATGAAACCGGCCTACCTAAGCGACATGTTTGTGAAGCTAAATGAATTGAATCTGCAGTTGCAGGGCAACAATACACACCTTCCACACCTGGCAGACAAGATACAATCCTTCACACGGAAACTGGACATGTGGGGCAGGAGACTAGAACGTGGGTATATCGACTCATTTGAGAATCTCAAGGCATTCATCGAGACCAATGAGCTGCAGAACACAGCGTTGAATGAGATGTATGAGAGATCACATCTCAGCCCTGAAAGTCAGCTTCCAGAAATATTTC